GCAAAGATGTCTATATTGCTAGAAGGGTCAGGGGCAACCTAATGATAGTTTTAACTTATATTATTAAGGCCAGGATGGTTTAGATAGACGGGGACAAAGCAAGCTGCCTTTGTGCTGAGCCATACTCTTGGGAGTTTGTCTAGACAGAATTTGTGGATACAGAGGTCCAATTATATATATATATAAATTTGTTAGGGGCATCCAACGAGGAAACAAAACTCAAAAAACCCCAACAAAACTTAACCAAAATTCCCATGCCCATAACACAACCCACAAGGTACAAACATATCTACTCAAAATGAAAAACAACACAACAACACACTCACAAAATGGCAAAACAACAAAACTCAAAAAACCCCAACGAAACTTAACCAAAATTCCCATGCCCATAACACAACCCACAAGGTACAAACATATCTACTCAAAATGAAAAACAACACAACAACACACTCACAAAACGGCAAAACAACAAAACTAAAAAAAACCAACGAAACTTAACCAAAATTCCCATGCCCATAACACAACCCACAAGGTACAAACATATCTACTCAAAATGAAAAACAACACAACACACTCACAAAATGGCAAAACAACTGAGCATGCGCATTGGCGCCCAGCCGCAAGTTCCCTGGCGCGCGCACATGGCATTCCGGCCAACGTTCCCTCTGCGGAAGCCATGCCCACTCCAAGCCCCGCCGCGCCGCTTCCCGCACACACACACCCCCTGCCGCACACACACACGCAACCCCACGCTCCATCACTCCCCCCGCCGCCGCACACACACACGCAACCCCACTCCCCCCGCCGCCACACACACACACAACCCCACGCTCCATCACTCCCCCCACCGCCGCACACACACGCAACCCCACTCCCCCCGCCGCCGCACACACACACACAACCCCACTCCCCCCGCCGCCGCCACACACACACACGCAACCCCACGCTCCATCACTCCCCCGCTGCCGCACACACACACGCAACCCCACGCTCCATCACTCCCCTGCCCCAATCTTACCTTCTTTTACTTCACGCCACCTCCAAACCCCACCCCGCCCCTTCCCGCCCTGTCAAAATCTAGGAAAGACAGGAAGGAAGGAAAGAAGGAAGAAAGAGAAAGGGAGGTAAAGAAAAAGGGGGAAGGAAGGAAAGTTAGAGGAAGAAGAAAAGGAAAGAAAAGGAAAGATGGAAGGAAAGGAAAGAGAGACAGCAGAAGAGAACAAAAAAGGGGGAAGGAAGGAAAGAGATAGAGAAAGAAGAGGAGAAGGAAAGATGGGAAGGAAGGAAGGAAGGAAGGAAGGAGGGAGGGAGGGAGGGAGGGAGGGAGGGAGAGAAAGAAGGAGAGAAAGAGGGAAGATTGGCCACAGCAACACGTGGCGGGTAAAGGTTGTTATTTCTATTATTATTATTATGCTATTGTTCCTATGAGACCCTTTTAGGGGGAATGGGAGAGGTGTCAGGTCCCGGAGGCAATGCATTGCATTATTGTTATTGTTATGATGGTGGTGAAATAAAAGGAAATAAAAAGTGAAAGAAGGAAGCAAACAGGGAGGGAAGAAAGGCAAAGGAAGAAAGGGGGAGGGAATGAAGGAAAGAGAGAAGGATGAAACCAAGTAGTGAAAGAAGGAAAGAAAGAAAGAGGTAGAGAAGGAAGAAAGGAGAGAAAGGGAGGAAAAGGGGGAAGGAATAGGTAGGGACCTCTCTTTCATAATAGTCCAGATATCTACCTTAACTTTGATAAGTTTTACTATAGGCCACAGCAACGCGTGGCAGGGCACAGCTAGTATATATATATTTTACATAGCAGTCTGTGCTCTTTAGTTTTAACCCAGTTTAGCTCCCCGGGTGTCTTTGAATTAGATTACAGAGATGATTGGCCAAAACTAACAAATGCTAGCTTTGGTCTAATCATAGAATCATAGAATCAAAGAGTTGGAAGAGACCTCATGGGCATCCAGTCCAACCCCCTGCCAAGAAGCAGGAATATTGCATTCAAATCACCCCCGACAGATGGCCATCCAGCCTCTGTTTAAAAGCTTCCAAAGAAGGAGCCTCCACCACACTCCGGGGCAGAGAGTTCCACTGCTGAACGGCTCTCACAGTCAGGAAGTTCTTCCTAATGTTCAGATGGAATCTCCTTTCTGTAGTTTGAAGCCATTGTTCTGTGTCCTAGTCTCCAGGGAAGCAGAAAACAAGCTTGCTCCCTCCTCCCTATGACTTCCTCTCACATATTTATACATGGCTATCATGTCTCCTCTCAGCCTTCTCTTCTTCAGGCTAAACATGCCCAGCCCTTTAAGCCGCTCCTCATAGGGCTTGTTCTCCAGACCCTTGATCATTTTAGTCGCCCTCCTCTGGACACATTCCAGCTTGTCAATATCTCTCTTGAATTGTGGTGCTCAGAATTGGACACAATATTCCAGGTGTGGTCTAACCAAGGCAGAATAGAGGGGTAGCATTACTTACCTAGATCTAGACACTATGCTCCTATTGATGCAGGCCAAAATCCCATTGGCTTTTTTTGCCGCCACATCACATTGTTGGCTCATGTTTAACTTGTTGTCCACGAGGACTCCAAGATCTTTTCACACGTACTGCTCTCGTTGTCCATGTTCCCCATTCTGTATCTTTGCATTTCATTTTTTCTGCCAAAGTGGAGTATCTTGCATTTGTCACTATTGAACTTCATTTTGTTAGTTTTGGCCCATCTCTCTAATCTGTCAAGATCGTTTTGAATTCTGCTCCTGTCCTCTGGACTATTGGCTATCCCTCCCAATTTGGTGTCATCTGCAAACTTGATGATCATGTCTTCTAGCCCTTCATCTAAGTCATTATAAAGCCCTAAATGGTTCTGGCCCAACTTACCTGTCCGAACGCATCTCCCCTTACGAACCATCAAGGACTTTTAAGATCGTCTGGGGAGGCCCTGCTCACAAGTACGTCTGGCGGGGACAAGAGACAGGGCCTTCTCAGTGGTGGCCCCTCGGCTATGGAACGCCCTCCCTAGGGAGATTAGATCTGCTCCCTCCCTCTTAACGTTTCGGAAGCAAATTAAAACATGGTTGTTTGAGCAAGCGTTTACAAATGCAGAGTAGCTAATATATAGGAAATCGAATGACTTGACAATGGAACTGGACAATGCTTGATAATTTTATTTGTCGTGTCAGGGCAACTAGTCAATTATATTACATTTCTAACAGAACAAAGCAAACAAACAGACAAAATACAACATTTGTGAGTTTGGTAGTTGATTAAATGTCCTTTGACTTGGAGTGCAAGGAGGTCCTCCATTGTGCATGTAGCAGGGCTCAGGGTGCATGCAGCAGGTGGTCAGTGGTTTGCTCTTCTCCACACTCGCATGTCGTGGATTCCACTTTGTAGCCCCATTTCTTAAGGTTGGCTCTGCATCTCGTGGTGCCAGAGCGCAGTCTGTTCAGCACCTTCCAAGTCGCCCAGTCTTCTGTGTGCACAGGGGGGAGTCTCTCATTTGGTATCAGCCATTGGTTGAGGTTCTGGGTTTGAGCCTGCCACTTTTGGACTCTCGCTTGCTGAGGTGTTCCAGCGAGTGTCTCTGTAGATCTTAGAAAACTATTTCTATTTTTAAGTCCTTGGCATGCTGGCTAATACCCAAACAAGGGGTGGGCCGCAGATGTCACTGCCTTGGTCCTTTCATTATTGGTTGCTACTCCCCGGCAGATGTCAGGTGGTGCAATACCAGCTAAACAGTGTAATTTCTCCAGTGGTGTAGGGCGCAGACACCCCATGATAATGCGGCATGTCTCATTAAGAGCCACATCCACTGTTTTAGTGTGGTGAATGATGTTGTTTTTTATTGCTCTTGTTGTGTTTTATACTGTTTTAATGGTTTAATTTGAATTATGATTTTATGTTTACTGATTTGTTGGAAACAGCCGATTGGCTGAGTCGCCGATTGGCTGAGAAAAGCGGTATACAAATACAGTCAATAAATAAATAAATAAATAAATAAATAGAAGTTCAACAGGGACAAATGCAAGAGACTCCACTTAGGCAGAAAAAAAGGAAATGCAAAGAGACAGAATGGGGGACAATACCTGGTGCGACAGTAGGACGTGTGAGAAAGATCTTGGTGTCCTCGTGGGGACAAGTTGAACATGAGCCAATAATGTCATGCAGTGGCAAAAAAGCCAATGGGATTTTGGCCTGCATAAATATGAGTATAGTGTCTAGATGCAGAGAAGTCATGATATCCCTGTATTCTGCCTTGGTCAGACCACACCTGGAATCACCCTGTGTCCAATTCTGGGCACCACAGTTGAAGGGAGATGTTGACTCTAAGCTGGAATGTGTCTAGAGGAGGGCAATAAAAAGGATCAAGGGTCTGGAGAACAAGCCCTGTGAGGAGCAGCTTCAAGAGCTGGGCATGTTTAGCCTGCAGAAGAGAAGGCTGAGAGGAGACATGATGACAGCCAAATATAAATATGTGAAGGGAAGTCATAGGGAGGAGGGAGCAAGTTTGTTTTCTGCTGCCCTAGAGACTAGGATGCAATGGAACAATGGCTTCAAACTACAGGAAAGGAGATGCCACCTGAACATGAGGAAGAACTTCCTGACTGTGAGAGAGATTTAGGATGAGAGGTAGTATCATGCAGTGAGACAGATCCTAGTTCAGTAGAAGATGTAGTTCTGTCTAGGGCAGTGGTTCTCAATCTGTGGGTCCCCAGATGGTTGTGGCCTTCGACTTCCAGAATCCTAACAGTTGGTAAACTGGCTGGGATTTCTGGGAGTTGTAGGCCAAAACACCTGGGAATCCACAGGTTGAGAAGCACTGGTCTGGGGCCTCCAGCTTGGGTTCTTTCCTATCGGTGCCTAGAGATTGCTGGCATTTCCTGATGGTGATCATCTCCCATGCAAGTCCGGATCACACTCATCCTGCTTAACTTCCAAAATCAGAAGTTACTGAATAAGTTCATGTTGAGATGATATTGCCAATAGTCTTCTTGGGTTTCCACCTCTTGCAGATGGTCTTCCGTCCTCCTCTGGATTTCTATGACGTCCTGATCCACCTGAAACCCAAGCAGATTCCAAGGCATTTGGAGGCTGTGGACAGGCCCGTCACGTCCTTCAGCCGCGGGATGCTCAAGAGTGAGGCTATGGTGAAGACGCTTTCATTCCCCGTCGTGGATTACGACCCCGTGCAGTGCTATCTCCAAGAGCTGCGGGTAAGTGCTGGAGGACGTGCAATGAGAAGGAGGGCAAGATGGAGAAATAATGGAGGGCAAGATGTATTGTTAATTACAAGGATCCAGTGTGGAATTCTCTTGTTCAAAGCATGCTGTCTTTCCCTAGGGTGGTCCATTCCTTTCAACCACTTACTTTCGTTTTCTGTGTTTTTCCCCGCTATTATTCACCCAACTAGCATTCGATGAAAACTCTGTCCTTATGGGCCTGATATCTTGAAAGCCCCCTTCCCAAGCAGGATGGAATATCACTAATGTTGATGTGTTGAACCTTGTGCAAACATTCCAGAGTGGACCTAGTGCTCTCAAAATTGTCTACTTCAGAGAGCCAAACTTGGTATAATGGGTTTAGCTCCCAAAGTGACCCATTTAAGGTGGAATCAGGTGTCAAACAGGGATGTGTTATTGCCCCAACTTTATTTTCCATCTTCATCGCTATGATACTTCACCTTGTTGACGGGACACTTCAGATAGGTGGCAAGCTATTTAACCTCAGCAGGCTGAAAGCAAAAACCAAGGTTACAACAACATCTATTATAGAACTCCAATATGTTGATGACAATGTCATCTGTGCACATTCAGAAGACCTACAAACCACTCTAAACACCTTCGCAGAAGCATACGAGAAGCTCGGCCTGTCATTGAACATCGAAAAACCCAAAGTGCTCTTCCAGCATTCACCAGCCAATCCCTCTCCAATGCCAGAAATACAACTTAATGGTGTAACATTAGAAAACGTTGACCATTTCCGTGACTGTGCAAGGAAGTGGATGAAACCATGGACCATCTCTTCAGCTGTTGTAAGAAAATCGCACAGATGGACTACAAACAAAGACACAACTCTGTGGCTCAGATGATTCACTGGAACTTATGTCACAAGGACCACCTGCCAGCAGTAAAGAATTGGTGGGATCATAAACCTACAAAGGTCGTGGAAAATTAACACACAAAAATCCGGTGGACTTTTGAATCCAGACCGACAAAGTTTTGGAACACAATACACCAGACATCACGATTGTGGAAAAGAAAAAAGTCTGGATTATTGATGTCGCCATCCCGGGTGACAGCCGCATTGAGGAAAAGCAACAGGAAAAACTCAGCTGTTATCAAGACCTCAAAATCGAACTGCAAATGCTCTGGCGTAAACCAGTACAGGTGGTCCCAGTGGTCATTGGCGCACTGGGTGCCATGCCAAAAGATCTCAGCCGGCATTTGGAAACAATAAACATGGACAAAATCACGATCTGTCAACTGCAAAAGGCCACCTGACTTGGATCTGCGTGCATCATTCGAAAATACATCACACAGTCCTAGACGCTTGGGAAGGGTTCGACTTGTGATTTTGTGATACAAAATCCAGCATAGAGATCTCGTTTGCTGTGACATACTGTGCTTTTGTGTCAGTAAAATAATAATAATAAAAATAATAATAATAAGTCCTTGTTTATATCCCGCTTTCCCCCCCTATATGGCCATGTTTCAGCAGCATTCTCTCCTAGTGTTTCTCCTGCATCTGTGGCTGACATATTCAGAGGTTCTGTTGGCAGTGAGGCAAGTGGAGTGTATATTCCTGTGGAATGTCCAGGGTGAAAAAAAGGCACTGCCTGCCAGCAGGGAAATCTGGAAGCTGAGCTCCAAACATATGCCCCAAGCTATGGTTCCCATACTGTCTTGCAGCTAAATCTGCCCCCAAACCTGAACTCCTTTTACTTACATAAACCCTGTTGATCCCTGTTATACATTCCTGCCTCCATTGTCCTTCTGTTAGTTGCATTTCTGAATGCAAACTCCTGAGGTCAGGGTCCTTTCCTCTGGGTTTTTGCAAAAGCTTGCAATCATTGGTTGAACTCTGCAATTTCCTCTAACCAAGAAAACAGTTCTCAGGATGGGATTCCAATTTGTGTCCATGTCTATATGATCTCCTCCCAGCCTTGCTGCCTTTTGTAATGACAGCAGTTTCCTTAAATAAGCTATTAAAGTATTTAATGAAGAGGCTCTGTGGAAGAATATTGTCTTCTTTTGAAAAGCCACAGCGTGATTCAGCAGCTGTTGAAATTGCCAAATCCAGATGCTTTTAATAAAAGGGAGAAATGCACTCCTTTGCATGAAAAGGCCTAGGAAACGGATCACGCTGGAACCTGTTTTCTCTTGTGTGGCTCCCTCTGTTGCAAGGTCAACCCTGATGGCTAGGACAGGTCTTGCAAGCCACTTGGTTATTTCAGCCCTGCTGCAAGAGAGAGCTGTGCTTTTGTGTTGCTCCTAGACGTTCAACACACCCTTGTTTTCTTCCTGAAGCTTGCAATCATGGCAGCTCTGATGAAAGTTTGTGGCCAGTGTTGGGCAACTTGTTTTCTACTAACGTTGACAACTCTGCTTTCCAGCAAATACTCCAAATCCCTTCTCCACGTTGACTCTCCACTTGGACTCCTATTTGGTCACCTTCCTCTTTCACTCTGAAAAGTGCTTCCTCGGTTTGAGAAATTTGAGTACGCAGATGATCCCTTAGGTGCTTTGGTTAGACCACACCTGGAATATTGTGTCGAATTCTGGGCACCACAATTGAAGAGAGATGTTGACAAGCTGGAATGTGTCCAGAGGAGGGCGACTCAAATGATCAAGGGTCTGGAGAACAAGCCCTATGAGGAGCGGCTTAAGGAGCTGGGCATGTTTAGCCTGAAGAAGAGAAGGCTGAGAGGAGACATGATAGCCATGTATAAATATGTGAGAGGAAGGCACAGGGAGGAGGGAGCAAGCTTGTTTTCTGCTTCCCTGGAGACTAGGACGCGGAACAATGGCTTCAAACTACAAGAAAGGAGATTCCATCTGACCATTAGGAAGAACTTCCTGACTGTGAGAGCCATTCAGCAGTGGAACTCTCTGCCCGGAGTGTGGTGGAGGCTCCTTCTTTGGAAGCTTTTAAACAGAGGCTGGATGGCCATCTGTCAGGGGTGATTGAATGCAATATTTCTGCTTCTTGGCAGAATGGGGTTGGACTGGATGGCCCATGAGGTCTCTTCCAACCATTTGATTCTATGATTCGATGATGCATGATGTTATTGAGATGAGCTGTCAAGGTGTCTTCAGGTTATGACAGCCATATGAATGCGAGACCTCCACGGTCCTCAACCATTGACCGTTCTGTTCTTCTAGCTTCTGAGTTGGCATCTCAGGTCTTGCAAACTGGGCATGGTTTCTTTGATTGAAGCCACCCACCTGTATTGCGTTCTTGCTTTTTTCCTACTTCCATCCACTCTACCAGGCATTATGATCTCATTTATTGAATATATATCTGGCCTTTCTCTCTTGAGAGTGGTGTCATGCAACAAGTCATGTCATCTCATGATGGCCATGTATCAAGAGGTGAGGGAAGTCATAGAGAGGAGGGAGCAAGCTTGTTTTCTGATGCCCTGGAGACTAGGATGCAATTGAACAATGGCTTCAAACTACAGGAAAGAAAGGAGATTCCACCTGAACATGAGGAAGAAGTTCTTGACTGTGAGTGTTGTTCAGCAGTGGAACTCTCTGCCCCAGAGTGTGTTGGAGGCTCCTTCTTTGTAGGCTTTTAAGCAGAGGTTGGCCATCTGTCAGGGATGTATTTTTGGCAGGATATGGTTAGACTGGATGGCCCATGAGGCCTCTTCAAACTCTTATGATTCTATATGTCCAAAGTGTGAGACCTTCAGTTTAGCTGTCTTCACCTCCAATGAGATTTGAGGATGGTTGAATCTGTGGAAACAGGATCCATGGATATAGAAAGTTGATGATCTCTGTGAAAACAGCTTGGACTGTTTGTTTGTTCATTGCAACAATGAAGCATCCCTCATTTGAGCAGCTTGAGATGTGTCTCTAGTTTTCTCTGTACATTTTATGGGGTGCTCTACAGTTTTGCTGACCTTATTCAGGAATGCAAAGCTCCTTAAGGAATCCTTCTCTAAACAATCTAACCTTCAAAGGTGGAGAGCCCACCAAGATCCAAGGCAGTCTTTTCCACTGTTGAACAGTTCCTAAAGATGCCCCCCCCCCCAATGTTTAGGAAGAATACCTTTTCTTGCCATCTGAATCCAATGATTCATGTTATAGCGTTTGTAGCAGCATAAAACAAACTTGCTTACTCTCACGTAAATACTACACTGGCTATTAGTCATTCCTCCTCCCTGCTTCAAAACAAGTATTTAAAATGAGACGGGCTTCCTTTTTTTGCAAAACTAATCAATCTTATTTAATTCTGTTATTTAAAAAATTAGGTTCAACATTTAATATAGATGTCACCTGCAAATTCCACACACTTCCTTATTTGGTTCTTTTGAAAACCAGAAAATAAGAGTGCACATAAATTGTGGCAAGTTCTTGGTGGGATGGGCATACCTAGCCACCTTCCCTCTCTCCTGAGGAATCTGTACAAGGACCAAGGAGCAACAGTCAGAACTGACCACGGAACAACAGACTGGTTCAAGATTGGGAAAGGCGTACGGCAAGGCTGCATACTCTCACCCAACCTTTTAAACTTGTATGCAGAACACATCATGCGATGTGCGGGGCTTGATGAATGCAAGGCTGGGGTGAAAATTGCTGGAAGAAACATTAACAACCTTAGATATGCAGATGACACCACTTTGATGGCCGAAAGCGAGGAGGAGCTGAGGAGCCTTCTAATCAAGGTGAAAGAAGAAAGCGCAAAAGCTGGGTGTAGCTAAACATCAAAAAAACCAAGATTATGGCAACAAGAATGATTGACAACTGGAAAATAGAGGGAGAAAATGTGGAAATAAAGCCCAGCTGCTCACTGGAGGGAAGGATACTAGAGACAAAGTTGAAGTACTTTGGCTACATCATGAGGAGACAGCAAAGCCTAGAGAAGAATGATGCTGGGGAAAGTGGAAGGCAAAAGGAAGAGGGGCCGACCAAGGGCAAGATGGATGGATGGCATCCTTGAAGTGACTGGACTGACCTTGAAGGAGCTGGGGGTGGTGACGGCCGACAGG